CATGTGTTTTTGTTATTTTTAGCCTTAGCCTTTTATTCACGCTGGAGAAAACGTGTATAAATAAGAAAACTCACACCCGTCTGGGAAAGTGCTTGTCTAAGGCAGAGCTGTGCCACCCTCTGGACAGGTTATTTGGGTGACTGGGAAGGCAGGAGGTGATTTGTAAGAGGAAAACTTTGACGATTGTATGTGCCCTGGAACTGATGAACACAGCCAGAGTTTCCTTCCAGCTTGGGTATCCTGACATTGCTGCCTGGCTGGAGCAAGGGCTCTGTGTGTCTCCAGCTGGGAAGGACAGCATTTCTTTGGTGCTGCTCTTAAATTCAGTATCATCACGGACTTCAAAGTGACTTCCATGGAGTTTTTTTCAAGAACTAAACATTTTCACCCATTACCAAGGGAGTCAGTCTGGGGAATTGTGTGCCTCAGATTTAGCCCTTTGTTCTGCTCCTTTCATCACCCTCAGCTGCAGTTGTGCCTTTCCAAGTTCCACATGCCCAAATCTCCTCACATCTGCTTTGCAATGCTTGGCCCTGTTTTGCCTGGGGATGTTGTGCTTGGTTGCCTGGTGTAGGGGGCGTGCATCAGTCTGGTGGCAGGCTACAGACCTGCCCTTTGGTCCTTGTTTCACTGTCTGACTGATTCCTGATTCCTGCAGCATCCTTTGCTCTGGGGAGCTTTGAGGACAATCCGTGGTAATGTACTTCCTCGTGGTTTATGAGCTATCCTCTTAGAAACAATCAGCAGGAGTAGTTGTTTGCATGTGCTTTGAGGGGAGCTGATGGGATGGGAGGTGGGGGTCCTGCTCAGCCCTCCCTCTGTGTAGCTCTCCCAGATTTTAGGGAGGAACTGCAAAAAGGAGTTCCCCAGGGCAGGGTGCTGCAGAGACTGTGATGGAGACTAAAAAGCTGAGCTCCAGGCCAGGGTTTCTTCCAACTTTCCCACCTTACAACTGTGCTTTGGATTCAGATTCAGAAATACCTATGAAGTGACATGGGAACAGCAAATGCAGGTGCTTTGAGAGAGGCATTTTACTACTTCAGTGTTTCGGTCAGTGACTGAACACTATAGGTCTGATATAAATCAGAAAATGTTCCACATAGGCATGACTTCAGGCTTGAGACAGCTGCATTGCTGTTGCCAGAAATAAATTTGCCTAAGCCTATGTCTTCCCCACAGGGGGCTGTTATCACATGGTTCCATTCTATTTTTCTGGCCTTATCTCTTAATTAACTAATCTCTAATAATGCTCTTTCTTTTTTTTTTTTTTTTTTTAATAAGCATTTGCGATCTGTCCCCGTTTTCCATTGATTATGCTAAGAACAGCATTGGCTTTCACAAAACATGCAAGTTGGGTGTAAATCAGTCACTGTTTTGCTGGGATCCCTTTTTCTTTATATCAACCTTGAAAATCTTCCCAGCCCATCAGCTGGGAGGTCTGTGGTGCCTGTGTGCCCAATATAGCATTCCCATGCTCTTTGCTAAGCTGCACACTCGTGTTTGTGTGGTATTACCAAATGCCCAAGCTCATGTAATGCATGGAGGCTAATCTTATCAATTGTATTAAGGCTACTTAGGAACTAATAGCTTTAAGGAAGCTGTTTATATTTCCTCCTTTAAAGCACTTTAGTTAATGTTCTGTGTCCCTTCAAATAAATGTCATCGGTAAAATAATGCACTTTTTGTCATTCTTTTAAAAGTTATATTTCTTAAGAGTTGACACTTCAAGGCCTTGGGCTGACTCTGAGGTCTGGGTACTTGGATTTAAGCTGCTAATCCATATGGAGGTGCCTAAAAAGAAGTGGCCTGGTTTGCATGAATTAAGTTCACATCCTTCTGAAGTTTATTAGTTTGAAAATCAGGGCACGGCTCTGGAAGTCGTGGGATTGCTGCAGAGAGATTTGACTTTGTGAGCTTTAGACTTAAATTTCAAAGAAGAACAATGTGTTCTTTTGAATGTCCATTGCAAGTTAGATTTGAGCAGGGGGAGAAAAAGAGGTTATAAACAGCTGATTGTCAAAGAGCCCGAGGATGCCAGTGGTTTCTCTGGTTCAGACCGCCCAGAACATCACGTTCATGGCTGTGAGGATGTTTTAATTCCTATGTACTGCAAGAGGATGCTATTAAAATAGCACAGAAAATTCTGTTTCTAGAAAGAGGCAGGTGATCTAGGGGTCTGCTTGCACATCCTGAGCTTAGCTGGGCACATGAAAAGAGGAAGGTTTGCTTTCTCTCAGAGCTTTATATAGAGGTGGGGAAAACCTTCCCACGTATAGGAACACATAAAACAGATCCAAAAAAATGAATTCTGAAGGAAAAAGCAGTAACGCAAATTAAAGAAATCTGTATTAAATTGTATATATTTAAACATTTTCTTTAAAGAGATCTTTACTTGCAATAACATTTTAATACCTAAATTTACATTTGCAGTCAGCAGAAATACCTTTATCTAGAACAGCATTTGCAGTGTCACAAGTAAGTATGTGTAAGATTGGACCAGTGATATATTACACGTAATATTGTACAAAGCAGTCATATTACAATCTTGTGGTAATCATAAGATGTCACAAAGATCTTCATCAACCAGGAGGCTTTATTTTAGACAGCATTAGCCCATATACTCTTTGTTCCCTGGTTCCAGTACTGTTCTTTGTAAACCTGTCTCAGATGGTCTCTTTATCTATCTGATACCATTGCTCTGGGAACTGGCTTCTCCAGTGTGGCATTGAAAGAATGGTTTGAAAATGTATTATGTTGCTTGAGCAATAATGTGATAAAAAATTGGGACCACGAATAATTGGAGACTCCTGTCTAAATTAGTGCCTAAGCCAGATTTCTAGGGCAGCAATAAATCTAGATCTCTTTGAAAAGTCAGTCTAGTCACATAACTGGTATTGATCACAGCTTGCTGAAGCCTCCCAAGGAAAGACTGTAATTAATCCTTGTAGTGTAGCTCCTATCCACATAGGAGTGACTCCTCTGAAAAGCTCTTCTCTGGTACATGTGGCCACATCGTGTGCCATCCACAATCCTGTTCTTCTCTAATGGGCCAGCTGAGAGGGGCAGCTGGCCCCAGTGCCGTCCTACAGAGCAGGGAGGAGCTGCCCTGGCTCATACAGTTCTGTCCCTCAGCAGAGCAAGAGACGATAGGCTGTGGTGAGTAGCAAGTTGGCCTTTTGTCAGTGCCCTTGTCCTAGTCTTATGCACACAAGAGTGACTTTTTAATTCATTATTGTAACTAAATCCATGATCATAACTGAAGTTGAAAGCTTTGACAGCTTTGAGAAAGTGAAAGGACACCAGACAGCTTGTGTGCAGGTGGCCTGAGACAGGCTGGGCACTGAGATGGAAACTACAGCTTGATGTACGGACACATCCCTACTTGTCCTGCCTTGAACTGATCTGTCTGTCCAAGAAGGAATTTGGACAGAAGCCGGAGGAGCTGAGTGCTGCTGGGACAAGTGCACAAGTGATTAAGAACAAAAACCAGTGGGCTCTGCAATGGTGATGCAAACACTGCTCCCTTTGAGGGCTGGCCACCAGAAACCTCTCCCGGGTACGGCCCCAAGAAGCAGAGGGTTTGCACTGCCAGGGGAAAAAGGAGTGTGGTGCCTGGCTTGCAGGGAGGGGCTGAGGTGTCTGCAGTATTTGGTGCAGGGGGCTGGGGCTTGTTCTCTCAGGTTTCTTTCCCTTTAGCTGAAATTATCTGGCAGCTGAAAATAAACTCAAGATGATGCTCTGGTCCCTTATTAGAGGCTGCACACCACAGCAAACTCTTTCCATATTTTATTCCAGCTCGAGAACAGGATCCTCCAGCTATGACATAATGTTTGGAGAGATGCAGCATATGCAAAATGTGCCTTGCCTTTGATTTAAAAGATATAATGAGCGGTATCCCCTCACTGATAAAGTAAAATTTGCACATTGGGTGTTGATTTAAACTTAGTTTTCCCTGGCCTGCAAGGGTGAGGCTTGATGTACTTGTGGATGAACGATATCCACTTTCTAGGCTCCTGGAATATATTTAAAGTGTGAGTTCTAAGTGGCCTGTCTGGATTTGGGTTTGTCTTTTTCTTGCCTTAAAAATAGTTGAGCTTGAATATTCTGGAGCAAGTTATGAGATGACATACTCTGTAAAATGTCCAGAGTATCCATAACTGGCATATGCTCATAGCCTGGATTCCACCCACTAAAAGATGAATCTTCTGAGCTTCCGTGAAGAATTTAAATACAAGGTGAAGCCTAAGTCTACAACACGTGCATCCAAGATATACAGCCTGCAAAAAAAACCCTGAGAAACAAACCCTCTGAATCTTACCTGAATATTTTTTTTTATGATGCTTGGCTGCTTCATTAAATTATAATTTTTACTTAGTACATAAATTCTCAGCATAAGTTTGCATTTTGTTCTATGTACATCTTAAGAATACAGCAGAAAATATCATTGCTTAGCACATTAACAAAAATCACATATGAGAGGTTTGTCAAAATACCTGTATACTAAGTTATATACAATGCTGGAAATCCTTCTTTCTTTGAATACTATCATGCTACTCTCCAGAAACCCAATCTGTTTGTACTTAAAAGCTGAAGTACAGAAAGTATGCTGATGAAACAACTTGAGCAAAAAAATATTAACTTTTCGAATTCCACTTTTAATTTCAAAATAAGATGGAATGGTTTGCCATGCAATGCCAGCAATCTTTTTTTTATTATTTTTATTTTTTCTTAAACTAACTGTCTCTGATAAGGGAACACGTGAATATTGTAAGTCCTAGTTGGGGTCACATTCCCAAAAGGGTATGGATATTGTGTACTCACATTGTGGATAAGTGTTTTATCCCAAGGTGCACTATATTGTATGCTCCCATGTACAAAAGTGAACATGCGTAGAAATGTGTATTCTGGTGGTTGATACATAGCTTTTAAAATGTAGATATATTCACAATTCTCAGTTTGTGTTATTTTTCTCTGAGAAAAAGTCCCCCTCAACGAGCAGCTCAACTGACTGTTGTGATGGCTGGCGTCTTCCCACCTTCCTCTCCTTCGGCCCCTTCGGCTCCTGCTTCCACCTGGTTGAACTTACCCAGCTTTTTCAAATTCTCCAGGGCAGATTTGAAAGTGTCCTTGAGGCTGTTCTCCAGGACCCACCCTTCGCTTTCGCATTCGGGGTCTTCGGGATTGGCAATGCTTTCCAGGGAGGTGTGCAGGAGGCGCAAGCCAACCATCACCGACATCTGTGCCAGGCAATGGGAAAGGCAGAGAGGTCAGCCAGGCCTGGGCACTGCCCTGCCACCCTCCCTGTCCCCTGCTGTGGCCAGCCCGGGCTGCGTGCCCTCTGCATGCCCCATCAGTGTCCGTGCCTTCCCTGGAGGTTTCGATGCATCCCTGACTGCTGTGCACTGCATGTCCAACAGGCACTGTGGATGTGTGACACCGTCCTTGACCACTCCGTTTTAACTGAATATTTTGGCTTTGCATTGACCTCAATATGCTTGGTGAGTATATTAAGCTGATCAGGGAGATATTAATGAATCAGCGTCTCTGCAGAATGAGCAGCGTTAGGATTTGAGCCATTAGTTTGTCTGCTTCAGATTCTGATTTTGTTTTAGCATAGGTATGTGCAAATTAGGAAACCAAGGCAGCAGGTGATCTCTCCCTGGTTCCACCTAAAACAAATTTGTATTTCTGATTAAATATTACCTAGTCCCAGCAGCCCTGAGACTTTTTCTACTGTACTGTGTAACACTGCTGACACTGGCAACACCCTGCACCTGTCTCCAGAGAGAAAATGTGTTTTTAGCCAATCTACTGCCTTCTAACACTGTTCAGAACAATCTGACCTCACCCTTGTGGTGCTTATGAAGAAAATGATTGATGAGTGAAGTAGAGGAGGACAGAAGAGCAGCTCCCAGAAGAGCCAGCCTGGTGACATGGTAGGGCTGGTGGTTGGGATGGGGCAGCAGTAGAATTGGTTTGGTCCTTCACATGCTGGGTAAAGCTCAGATGGAGAACACCTCCTGCTGTCAGGACTTCATAGGATTTGTTTGCTAAGGGAAGTACGGTGCCTCCATCTCCCTATCCAGTTTTCCAAGGAACTGATCACCTTTGGTCCTCCTCAACCCTGATGGCTGCAGAGGCTGGCAGATTTGAGGTTGAGATTCAGCCACGTGGCAAGGCCAATGGCAGAATTCACATCTGGCTTTTGGACTTGAAGGACTGCCCAAGGATATGCTTCCATGGGTGATCCTTCAGCCTGTCTACTGGGGTCATCCTCCTTGGGTGTGATCAGAGTCTCCAAATTCTGGGAAGACTAAAGCTACACTTGGGTACTCTCAAAATTTGCAGATGTTCATATTTCTCTGCCTTTACTCAAGATCAGAAAGGGAAAAACATTGGTCAAACAAACAAGTTTCATCAAATACTTCTACATCCAAAGGCAAATGTTCACACTGCTTAACACAGGAATGTCTGACTAGCCACACTTTGGTCACTAAGGGAGTTTCTAGTGGCTCTGAGTCTGGAAATAGTCTCATCTAGCCAATAATATGATGACTTAAATCAGTTAAAGCATTATTCTATAAAAGTCACAACAAGTGACAAATCCCATCACGTTAGTCTTGGGATTTAAAGCCTTTGACATCTTCCTTCCACTCTGAGTCCCAATTTTGCTGCTCTCACTCATGGGACTGATATCTTTGAAATCAATGGCTGTTGCAAGTGCACATTGACAGGGCTGGGTGCAGGAAATGACCTCCACTTGCTCTCTGCTTGTGCTGCCTGGCAGCATGTCAGCAGGAGCTTTGTTTTGAGATTGATTTGCCAAGTGCCACAGCCGAAGTAGATGGACTGGCTTCCTGGATGGCTCTAAGCCACTAAATATTATCATGCTTTTAAAAAGGAAGGTGCTTGTCCAGCTCTGAGCATCTGGCCTGTCCTTGGATGAGATTTTGTGACATTTTCTCTCAGTCTAAGACTTTGTTTTCTTGATATGAATCCCTGAAGCTGAGATTCTTTAAAAGTAATGCAAAATGTCTGGACTCTTGTCACCTCCAGTGATCTGAGCCTGCTTTCTCTGCCAGATGAGAAGAGAGCCCAGGAAGTTTGAGACAAGTATCTGGTAAATTAATCTATCTCCTGTATGATCACAGAGAGTCTGGGACCACCAGTTTAGCTGAAGTCTCACACCAGGGAAGGCATGACCCCATGCACCAGCATGTGCTGGGGGTGACTGGCTGACAGCTTGGCAGCAAAGGGCCTTGGGGCTCTGGGTGACCCCAAGCTGTCCCTGAGCCAACAATGTGCCCTTGTGGCAAAGTGGGAAAATGGTATCCTTGGCTGCATTGCTGATTAATACTTGCCAGCAGGATGAGGAATGTGATCCTTCTTCCCCTCTGCTCAGCCCTGGTGAGGCCACAGCTAAACCTCCAACCTTAACCAGTCTACGAGCTGTAGATGTGAGCTTAACCAAGTCCAGCACAGAAGGCTGGGGTGTCAGAGCCCCAGAGCAAGGCCAGTCTTGCTGAGGGATGATTTCCCTCTCATGGAAACTCTTGTCATTTTATAGCAACTTTAAAGTGCCAGGAAGAACAGGGCCATGGTGTTTTTCCAGGGCTAGGGCTGTGCAGGCTGGGCTGTGGATCCCCTGCACCACAGCACACTCAGCCTCTCCAGTGGGACAGCCGAGCAAACTGTGTCCATCTGGAGGGTCCCTGCTGCCTGTGGGCTGCTTTTGGAGATCACCAAAGCTCACTCCTATTGTTAATGCATCAGAGAGCTTACTCTCCAACACAGGACATGCAACATGCCTCCTGGCAATGTCTCAGTGCCCTCTTGGAGCTCAGCCTGAGCCTGGTCTGTGGCACATGTGAGGGGAATCCCAGGCTCTTGGCTGTTGTGGCAGCTGTGACCTATTGAGATCCACATGTTTGCACAACTGGAAGACCTGGAACATCTCAGGAACCAGCCTCAGCTCTCTATTCCTTTTGAAATACTTTATTCAGGGCACCCTTGGACCTCTCTTTTCCTTTGCTGGCTGAGGCAGGTCAAGAAGACATCCAGGCTTGCTCTTCTTGACCTTCTGCAGGGAAGCCCATCTGTTTGCCAGGGTTTAGCCTCAGGCGGCTTAGCCAGAGCAGGGTGTGATCTTTTTTTGTCATCCTCATGACTGGTTGTCACACATGGGAAGCCTACAGCTTTTGTTAGGAAAAGCAGCTTCTAGATGTTAGCATTCTTTTCAAATAGAAGTTTTGATGTTTCAAAATAGGTTCATTCCTCTTTGTGCCTAATATAGAAAGGTGAAATGGCCTTCCCTGAGGTCCCTGCACCAGTTTGGCACATTTCCTTTTTCTACAGCTCAGAATGACAGCTCTGATTAGTATTTCCCTCCATGTTCTCTCCCCCTTCCCACACCTCAATTCCAGCAAACCAGTTGGAAGAGTCATCCACAGTCCCCAGAAGGGCTTTGCTGGACAGGTACCTGGTTTGAGTCCATGGTGGCTGCAGGTGTAAAGCAACCCAGGATTTTGCTTTTGCACTTTTCTGTGACTTCCTAGGAAGTCAGTCAAGGTGGAAACGAGAAGTGCAGAGCCAGCACAGCCACTGTCCCTGGGCTCACCCTGCTCAGACCCACACTTACCTTGGCCAGGAGCTGGAACCTCTGCTGCCCTCCTACTCAGCATAAAATTGTTTCCTATCCTGACTGGAATTTAAAGGAAGTGGTTATACTTCAAGGGAGACTAAATTAATGTCTGTTTCCGGCTTTGCTTCCTCCCTTCAAAGTTTGCTTTAAAAGCAAAGGGAATTTCAGACTCAAATCTGGGCCCTTTATGATAGAATATCAGGCAAGTCATAAATATTCAGGAGGGCAAGTTATTGTAACCCAGGATTGTGTTGTTTCTTTCAAGTTTTGCCCTAAAAGTCCCCTGATTGCCTGATAAAAAGTCTCACCTTCTATTTTGAAAAAGACAAAGAAAAGAAGAGATCTTATTTCTCATTATGCCACAGGCTGAAAAAAATACCCAGGTGTACTTTGAAGAGTTAGACATAAAATACTGCATTTTTATCACTGCTATTAATGTTAACATATCACTGTCATTAATCTCTTGCAAGTTAGCAGAGGTATGTTACAGGTTCCTAGTCATGATTTTTTGCAGCTGGCATTGGTATTTTTGTGCATTTTTCCCCTGAGTTTTTGAATTTCTTCGACTTTCAAATACAGTTGAAATTCTCCTGTCTTCAAGAGCACTGCACTTGAATCTGGGCTATAATAAAAACCTTCTCTTTTTTTTCATACAAACAGTGCAAAGAGGTAGTACATTTCTCTGCAGTTCAGAGCAGCTATTTTTAAAACAATGCAACACAGAGTAAGTTTATGATTTTTTTTTCAGTTCACAGATTTAGGTAGGTGTTTATTTTCTAAAAAACATCTTCATTCCTGGAAGGCTGCTAGGCCAGTGCTTGTATCAAAATGTAACTCATCTTTTTAAAATTTGCATGTGTCTAAATTTTTTAAAAGGCAGCTGAATCATTTAAAAGAGGCAATGCCATTTGCAGCAGCCATTCCAAGGATAGGGAAGGATCTGCTGCACCCCAGGGAGCTGCACCCTCCCTTTTTCCAGCAGGTCTTGCCTGATCTCCACATCCAGCACCTCACGTTCCAGCCCTCGTGCCACTGCCAGCCCACGCTCCCCCAGCATTAGGGTTGATTAAACCCCCTGGCTAGAAAGCTGCCCATGTCCCAGAGGCAGGAGATTCATGGCATTGGATGAACAGAATTTTATCAGCCGAGCTGCACTTTGGGTTATGGTGCCCACAGACACCTGCCCTGGGCAGTGTTGGCACCTGTTTGCATTTGCGTTGCGGTTTTAGGAAGCAGAATAAAAAAAATTTAATCCACCTGCTCCACCTAAACCACTTTTTCTGACCAAAAACCTTGGTGGAGCTGTTGAAGGTCCACATGCTGCCTTGAAATCGTTCCACTGTGTGTGGAGCCTTAGAGCCTTATTTTGTTCAGTGTGTAAACCCTTTAACTGCACTTTCTGTCCCACTAATTACTGTCACATCTTTCTGATGTGCTGCTCTTTCGTTTTTCTTTTTTCTTTTCCCCACAAATGGTGACGCATGTAAAGTTAATGCATCTGGACATCAAAGCCCTTGCACTATCTTCCCTGCTCAGCACCTTGCCTTTGACAGAAAATCACTCCCTTTTTCCCCTCTTGCTGTGGGATACTCCAGGCTCTGCTAAGAGGATTCTGTGATCCCACAGCCCCTCCACCTCTGTTTCCAGCTTGGCACTCTTAGATATTTTCTCAGCCAAACACCGGGGACGTTTTTTTTTAAAAAACAGGCTTGATTTTCAGACTGAGAAGCCCCTGCTGAGAAGGGCCCTGCTCCTGCAGAGCTGTCAGTGTGACAGAGGGGAGCGAGGGGGTTACCTCGAAGAGCCAGACGAGGAGGATGACGGCGCCCATGGAGCTCATCATGCCGCTGTAGTAGTTGAGCAGCGCTTCCCGGCAGCCGCGGCGCCACAGGTTGAGCTCCTCGGTCTGGTAGTCGTAGCTGTAGTGGGCAGAGTTGTTGGTGACCTGGTACTGGATGCAGGGCCTGGGGGAGCTGGGGTTGCAGCAGCTGAAGGGGACTCCGTCCACCAGGTACCTCCCGTCCACGTTGCTCTTGATCCGGCTACGGGCGAGAAGGGAACGTGAATACACAGACAGACAGACAGACAGACAGACAGACAAAGATATCCAGAAGCAAATCTGCATGAGGAAGGAAAGCAAAGGCAAGGAGGATTTTCCACCATGCCTTGTTCACAGGTGTGTCCAGGGTGTCCTTCCTCCCCGAAATCCTTTTCTATGTCAAGGCTACACTGAGTCTGTAATTAACTCCTCCTGGTGGAAACTCATGCTCTTGGGTCACTTCTTCAAATAAATTAGTTTTTAACAAAAGTAAATGGCAGAGAGAATTCAGGAGGGGCCATCACAGAACAGTGATCACAGCACACTAGGATGGAAGGGAGGTGCTGGAGCTGACCTGAGCTTGGAAAAGAACCCAGAACAGCCTTAGGACCCACCATATCCAGCTAGAGCATTGATCCAGCAAACCTAAAAGCTTCTTTCTGATGATAATAGCTCCAGGGAGGTGTTGTGCATTTATTCGTGGCTTGGGAAGGTAGCCAGTATTGAAAACATGAAATATGCTTCAGCAACAGGATGTTGCAAAATTTCCAAAGTCCTTGCAGGAGCTTCCCAACTATTGTTCATCTGACACTGTGGTTGTTCTCTGTAAATAATCATTTAGCCTGGTGTCTTAGGAGATGTTTAGATGCAAGTTAACTTAGAAGGCAAATAGTTCCACTGACACTGCAGAAAGACTATAATAAAAGGACTGCAGTTTTAAAACAGGTCATTTTGCTTAGAAAATCACAGAATGGAGAGTCCCAGTAGTGTAGAGAGGCAAAAAAAAAAAATCTGAGTGTCACTTGTAGCTTTCTATATGGATATTTTAAAATTGTGTCATAGAGAGAGAAAGGTGATTCCAGCAACCTGGTGAAGGGAAATTCCACTTTGCAGTCATGACCTAAACCTATCTAAGCAGCAAACGCAGTTGAGGTTTTCTCTCTAAATGTAAAGTGTGCTCTGGATTGGGTCTAATTCCCATTCATGTGTAAATGCCCCACCAGTTTCAGAGAGATTGGATATTGGATCAGGCCTTTGCTCTACAAATAATATAAAAATCCTACTGTGGGGGACAGACTCCCACGTTCCTTGGAACTAAGGAGAATTTCATTATTGGCTTCAAAGGGGCCAGACTATCCCACCAGGAATGGGAGCAGAGATTGTTCACCACCACATCACACAAACCCTGAATTCACTAAAACCCATGTGTAGACTTTTAATGCCCTATTTCCTGCCTCAGTAGTACAAAGAAATTACCTTGAGTCTCAGTCCCAAACAAGGCATTGGTTATTAAGGACAGTATAACCCCGTTTTCCCTCTGTGCATTGCCCTTCCACTGCTGCTGGATTAAGTTACAGCTCTCAAATCTCCATATAATGCTGGCAAGGTTTTTTCAAGTAGTTATTTATACCCATGGGCATTCTTTCGCAATGGAAACACCCCCTTATTCAATAGTGAATGTATTTGTTATAACACCCTGCAGTGCAATGGGTTAAATCTGTAACAGTTTTCACTAAAAAAGTCCTCATTCAGAACTGCAAAAACAACCAGACCACCCAACAAGTCAAAAGAACATGCAGAGAGACACACACAAGTGAAATACCATTTCCACAGTCAGGCAGGGATCCCAAGAGATCCCAAGAGATACACAAAGCTTTTTTTCCGAAATTACTTCAGACATTTTTAATACAGGCAGTATATTTAAAAGGCAGATTGCTTCCAGTTTACAGATCCCATTATGCAACCACAAGGCATAAACATTAATGAATGATGTTCCCAAAGAACCCGGAATAACCATCTCTTTCCCCGGTGCTTAATTTTTTAAAAGGTTGTGGGTATTTATGCCTAATGCAATTTTTTTAATTTCAAAGGTTCATTTTGTTCTCATGTTTATTTTCTGCTTGAGCTTACTGCACCTAACCTGATTTTAGGATTACAGCCTCTTTGGGCACTGACATCAAAGCCATTAAGGTGTTTCTGGTCAACAACCTGGTCTGGTTTGTATAGAAATAATAAACTAGTGCTGCTTTCATGTGAGGTTTTAAAAAATTAGGCACAGGACAGAACTTAAAATACATATGGCTACAAAGGCCACTGTGTAAAGCTAGGAACATCAGTTGATGCCCAGTATTATCACAGCACTGAAGCAATCCATTGAGTGAATATTAAAATGAAACTCTAAATCTTAAGGATCTAAAACACATGAATTATTAGCATAGCATTACTCCTCTACTTATTTCCATGCAGCTGATTAGCTGCCAATATCTAAGTGGAGTTTTAAATGTGTATCAGCAGTATATCTCCAGGGAATTATTTTTTAGGAAATCAATAAATAACATTGACATCTGCTTAAGGATTAATAAAGTTCTGATACTTTCCTGTTGATTTCGGGAGTGTGGCTCAAGGTAATGGGTTTATAAAGCAGTAAAAGACAGTAAAAACTAATAAATCTGTTTCTACCACACTGAGTAAGGGTGGGAATTGTAGTTTGGTGCTTTTTAGTTCATATTATGGATGACTTTGGAAGAATTTGTCAGGGGAAGAAGCAATCTAGCTGGTCATTTGGGATGCTTTATTACACAAGACCCCATTTGACACAAACCCCCTTCCAGTCAGCGCCTGTTGGCACTTGAGGACAGCACTGATCGAACATCGACACCGTGTGACACAAAGCCCACCAAGTCACTTACTCTTTCACTTCTTTGGAGCTGAAGTCCAGGTATCTGTTGCTGATCCACTGGATTTCGAACCAATCTTTGTAGCCGTTGTTGCCACAGCACTTGAACTCAATCTGGAGCATGTCGATGGTCTTCTTCATGAAGCATCTCCCGGGGGTGTCCGTGTCCCGGTAGAACTTCATGCCGTTCTTGAGCCCCTGGGCCAGGGTGCTCTCCAGGGAGCCCCGCATCAGGAAGCAAATCAGAGCAACGAAGAAAATGAGCATGTTAAAGACGCAGCACAGTGCCAGGTAAGGTTTCAGCATAGGCTTCCACTTGGCAAATTTAGCAGGATCCAGAGAATCGTAACAAATTTTTCCAGCAAAACCATTGAAGGCGCAGGATAATATACCCACCAATATCAAAGAATTGGGCACAAAGTGGCTTTCAGAATTGTCCATCACTTCGCTTCGCTTCCGGAGCTCAATTTTGAGGAACAATCCCATGCTAAAAACAAGGATTCCAGCAAACACCGAAAACCAGTTCATGAGCCATAGTCCCTGCGCTAGTTTTACCCGTTTCTTCTGATTGAATTTGACTTTCAGCAGTGCCATCTTTGTAGTGGGAGATGTTGGAAGATTTCACAGCCTGGACCCCTCTTCTCAGCGTAAGCAACTCGAGGAAGAACCATTCAGGCGTTGGAAGAGATCCCGAACGGCACATCAGGAAGCGAGCCACTGCACAGTCCTTCCATCTTGAAGTCCCCTGTTTAGGATTCAAGTAAGTAAAATGTTCAAAGGTCCCAATTAACAATTTCACATTAGTGAGAATAATGGGCAATTAGCACCTACAACTATTTCTGGTGGTTTCTTCCAAGCGAAGGAGAAACACTCTCAAGGTTTCAAATGATTTGATCTGGATCTGCAAGACGTCATTCTAATACCTTTAATCATTTGATCCAATTTGGAGAAATGTCTGTCAACAGATGAGTGGAAGTAATCCCTCATTTTACTATTTAGTAGATTTGTGCTCTCCTATGATAGGCTGCTGGGTGGAATATGAAACTCCAGAGATATAAAAAGATCTTTGTCGCCAGAAGAATATGGAACCTTTGAGGAAAAAGGAAGAGGGCTCTGGATTAAAAAAAGGCTGCCTGTATACAAACATACACTTCCCCACCATGATCCCAATATATTCATATCCACAGCCAAACCCACCTCCTGGTCCTTATCCTTCTGTGTTGACTTGAGAGGACATCCTGTGGCTTATGTATTCTGAAAGCAGATAAGCGTGTCGTTTACGGTGACCTAAAAAAACTAAGCTTGGCATTTTCTATTTACTTCCAGCGCTTGTACCATCTCTGAGTCTTGGCAGGAGAGCAGGAGAAAGGAAAAGTGCAGAGAAACTCAATAAATAAACCTTGGGCTGAAATCTAGAGATGCTTTTATAAAAAGTGAGCTGGCATGAGCAGCTTACTGGATAATCACCACTGAGGTGAGCAGGGCTGCCCAAGGAGACCCACACAGGAGTTTAGACCAGGGAGGAATTCTCAGCAGCTGGAGAGGGACCCTGGGGATGTTGTATCTGAGTGCAAGGGAGGCATCCTGGGGGTCCCCAGGCTCTGCTCAAGGACCTGCAGCCAGCTCTGCTTTCGTGCTGGAGTGGGCAGAAAGGGGGGTACGACCCCTCCTGTGGCAGTGGTCTCCTCCTTGCAGCACTCAGCTGTGCCAGGCAAGCAGAGGAGCTGCTCCAGGAATTCTGCTTGCTTTGGAATATCATCTCCCACTCACCCCACAGGGGTTTGGAGCTACTGGGAAATTCCTGCACTGCCTCACCCTTGCCACGACAATGCGAAATTAACCTCAGGCAACCTCCAGCAGTGGAATATTATCCTGCAGGTGTGTGAGGGCGTGGGTGCTAATGCTGCGGGGAGAAAGGAGCAGCCCCAGAAGAGGGACTGGCAGGATTCTCTCACCCCTGTGAGCCAGACCGGCTGCTGCCACCACCCAAGTCCCTGGGGGCATCCTCTAGTGGCTGCCAGCAGCATGGCCACCAGCCCTCAGGGACAGAGAGGGGAAGGGTTCTGCTAGGAGGAAGGCAAGTGTGAAAAATAATAACACAAATAATTTAAAAGCCCAAACACAGACAAATTACGTTTTGATGCAGCTCTGTGGTACCGCGGATGCTTCTGAGTTACCATTTGAAAGCCTGGAAAGCTGAAGGCTCCTTCAGGAAGGACAAAGGCTGGCAACTCGCTACTTTTTCCTCTCCTAATAGGTTTTTATGGTGGGCCTTTCCCAGCTCATCCTGGTGCTATTGCAATGAGCTGGAGAGCAGCTGGTAACTGGGAGTTTTCTAAAGCAAACCTGGTTGTTTGCATTGCTGCTGCCCTTGCTGGTGAAGAGTGAGTGTGTAAGATGAGAGGGAAGGTGATTTTCCATCAGGGACTATTCTCTCCTCTTGCTGTGAAGTGGATGAGAAGTGCTATTTCTTGAGAGAGCCTATTCGTGTTTTTGTGCAATAAGTCATGGTGCTGAAATAGCATCTCTCCTGGCAAAATATCCCTCAACCAATGTAGCACATATTGTGTTTCACTGACTCTTTCAGGGCTTAGCTAAGAGACTTGAGTTTCGAAAATGTATTTATCTGACAGCCTGGAGTTAATTCTAGATAAAGGAACTTGAAACCATTTCCTTTCTTGTCAGTGATGACAGTGAAACTGTAATTAAAGTGGAAAAGAATTCTGTACCGGGTCTGCAGGTCATGAGGATACATAGTGAAATACTTCCTGCCCACAGCAGATGTGAGCCTGGTGCTGCTCTGGATATGGGTAATTTCGTATTCAGGAGCACAGATGGATCTGAATACTTGTCAGCTTAATAATTTAACATTTAGATACCCATGATAAATCTGATGCAGCAAAATCATGTAAGTGTATACAGTACGGTGTTTCCTCTAATTCAAGAATAAAAGTATTGAAGTAGAACATGCAGGACATACTTCAGGGCTCACTGATCCCTCCAGATTTACTCTTTTGCCTATAAACAAAAGAAATGGGAGGGGTCATCATAAATCACTGCTAAATTGCTAGTGTTAGCTGGGAGATGATCAGTAAAAATCCTGAACCTGACGTTCAGGAAGGGACACTCACTAATTAGACCTGTGAGACTTTGGGTGGTACCTTTATAAAGCCATCACGCACTACAGAAACAGCCTGGATTAGGGAAAATGCTGTTTGTTTAAGTAGTTTTCAACAGCTCAATACCGGCTGGGGACTTAAAGTGGCAAAAACTACCCCACCCACGCAGCTGACTCGGGACTTTTAAAGGGGATTGGTGAACACTTTTTAAAGTGGGAATGAATGCTGCCCCATTATCCCAGCCACGGAGCCGACAGACCCTGCGCAAGCATCGGCACAAACGCGCCAGCCAAGGGCTGTCCCTGGCACAGCAACCCAAGGGAGAGGAAGGTGATGGGGAATCATGGAGAAGCGTTTTGGGGTGGGCACAGTGTAAAAAAGAAAACTCTTCTTGCCTGGCATCTGCTTTTCTTAAAAAGCTTTTTCTTGGCTGCCATCCGTCTTTAGTTTGGCACTCACTGCTGCTTTCTACTTCAAAAAGAAAATGCTGAAATTGATCCATAGCAGATAAAAGCTAAATGCTGCGAGAATGTTTGAGTTAATGGTCTCCTCAGAGGTTGTATATTAAATTCAATTATATAATTCATATGCCAATATTGGAGAAAAAAAGGTAGAATAAAATATTCAAATTATTATTGATCTCACCATGAATCTGTTCAAATTCAAAATCTAGTTAAAAATTACAGTGTGTATGTATAACAATACAATATAGATACCTTTCCAAAAAGCTGTGCCTGCTAACCTACATATAAGCTACAAATTTATCAGTTAAGAGAGAGGAATGTAAACAATTTAATCTGGTATTTGTTAAACAGTCTGGTGCTCAGCCCTGGACCAATCTTTCCATCTTCAGGAGTATAAGATATAAAGCACATACAGGCCTAAACTATGGAAGTGCCCTCAGTTGGTAAAAAGAATAATTTCCTGGCCCAATCTTTCTTTCACGCTGCTCTGTGATATGAAATGTGTGCCTTTCTGAGCTTTTTTTTTTCCTTTCCTCTCCCTAGGAGTGGTTATATTTCACTGCAAGAATAATGATGTCTGGTTTTACCTTTGATGGGAAGCTATTGTGTAGAGAGGTTTGCTCATGTACCCTCACTTACTGTTTTGTTTCAATTGTAACTGTGGTGTGAACAGGGACACTCCTGAGGAACAATGTGATAAAAATGCTGTACCTCACTGTACCATTATCAGGTGGAGAAAAGTCTGATTTATGACTCTTTTTTTTAACCTCCTTACACAGGTAACTTGGTAGGCTACTATTTTTGTGGCATATGAAGTGACTGCAGGTTCTGAGGCTGGAAATAGAGGCAAGTTCTAAATTCACTGCTGGATTGTAAATCCTGGGAGGGGTGATTTGACCTGCTGGGCTCTGTCGCTCCTGCTCTTTGCTGGGGCACACTGTGAGAGTTTTTGGTGTGGTTTTGCTCTGGGTAATTCCCAGAATTTCAGCCATCACTCATGTGGTGGTGTGTAAAATGGTCAGAAAACACAGGGGTTTTTTGACATCCAATATGGTCATTATGAATGTTTTTTGTATTATTGCGATGCCTGGGGTGTAGCATTCACTGCTGAAAAAATTAGAGTTAGAAATCAAAGTTTATATTTGCAGAAACAGGAAAGAAGTATGTTGGGAATTAAAAGAAGCTTAGAAAAAGCTCATGATAGGCATTATTGCTGGAAAACATCTCAGCCTAACAGGTGGATCCCCAGGTCAGTCAGATAAATCAGATCATGATGTGAATGGAAATGCTGAAATTTCCCCAAGTTGCACAGATTCTTTTTCTGGCTATTCCTGTCTTTCCTTGTACGTAATGAAATTGGCTGTTTAGTAAAACCTGAAGCAATTCCAGGCAAAACCATTGAGATTTGAACTTTGTCTACATGCAGCTATTGCTTAAATTAGAAACTTTGGAAAAAAAATTCCAAGCCTTCAAAAATATAATGCATAAAAGTGTGTAGGAAATTGTCTTATGCATGTATTTCTTACCTGTTTTTTCCCCAAAACAATTCTACTACAGCTCACATCAGAATCTACTTAAATGAAAGAGGGCTGGATAAAGAGAGAATGCAAGTAACTCCATTTCTGCTACTGTTATTCAGAGAAGCAGGGGCAGACAGAGGGAAATGGCTGGATTGACTCCAAAGGGAACAGAGGGGCGTTGATCCCTCTCAGGACAGATCTCTGGCTGCTTCTCTGGTTCAAGCTTTGGTGCCACCCCTCAGTGCCTCAAAAATGGCAACGCTCAAAGCTCTGTGTGGCCTCAGTTTTCTCTCATGGGTTCAGCGTTGTGTATCTTTGCACAGAACTGTTTTATTTCCTCCACAGGCACACATGGGAGCTTTAAAACACTGAGTAACAGCCATGTGGTGGACTAAGGAAGTTTCACTGGCTTTAAAGATTTTGGTAAGGCCACTGGCTGGAGGAAGGCTGTCCAAGTAGGCTGTCTTTCAAAAATGTTTGAAACAGGACTGCTTTCCTGACTCCCTGTGGAAAATGGTTCTGCAGCTCAACGCCCTTCACTATTTTTATAAACTTTCTGCCTGTTAGCTTCTCTTCAGGGCAAATTTGCACAAGGCTTCTGGTGCTGATGTTCTGTTATCCCGTGCCTCTGGCAGGCATTTATTTTTCAGCCCCTTGTGATGTCTAGCATCATTAATTTCTTTAAAGTACGTGATTTTTAAAGAAGTTCCTGGTGGAACTGGTGGCACTGTGATGCAAACCAGAGCTAGAGCTCTGGAGGAGACTTTATTCACTTCAGTTGTACATTATGCAGGATAAGTGATTGCCAGCTGATTAGAAATA